AATCGCTCCTTTATGAAGAAGTTGTTGTATTTCATCGAGCAGTACCGGCGAGCATGATGTAAACCGGATCGGACTTGAAGGAGGAACCATGTCAAATTCTATCCGATAGCCGTGCTGAATGATGGACAGTACCCACCAATCAGATGTAATGGACTCCCAAATGGGGAGTCGGCTTCGCAGCCAATCCCCAGATGAGAGGGGGGTGGGTATGGAAGGAGGAAGAGGAGAGGTTCGCCAGTCCCGTCAACGCTGTCTCCTGTCATCAAAATGGCGACGGCCCTGTTGATAGCGTTGCTGGGGCTGTGGATGGCGGCACTGCCGTTGCTGTTGCCAGTGCTGGGGCTGCTGCCTAGGCTGGTAGGACTGCCTATAAGAAGGACAAGTCCATGACCACTTACGCCTGGTCTGGGTCTGGATCTCCATCCTGCGTGCCGTCATGCGGGATTCGTGCAGCTTCTTCAATTTATGGTTGGTGTGAGAGTGGAAAAGCCCGGACCCATCAAAGGGCGTCTCCTCTATATGACGTTTAGTCTCCTCCGGGAAGTTACAATTTCTGAGCCAGGCGTGTCTCCGGAGCAAAACGGCACCGACCAAGGCCCTCGAGTCCGTGTCCACATGATGTCTGGCTATGGACAACTGCTGGACCGCGACCTGCATTGCCTCCTTGATGAGGACCTTGGCCAGGTCACCCTGGTGGTCTGGGAGGGTCGAGGCGACGTTGTGGAGGTGCTGCATGACGAAGTATTGGTACCTCGCCAACGTCGCCTCGTAGTTGGAGATATGCAGCCCCAGGCCTGAAGCAGCGTAGACTCACCTGGCCAGGGAGTTGATCTTTCAGCCCTCCTTGTCCCATGGTGCAGTGTGACCTCTCGCTTCTCTACCCTGGGAGGACTCCACCACGACCGAGTTCGGCTTGGGGTGGCAGAGGAGGAAGGGGATGTCCTCCTCCCGAACCCAGTACATGGATTTGTACCTCCAGGAAATGGGTTGAGAGTGAGAGGGCAAGTCCCAGGGTTGCGTCATCACTTGCCGTAAGGTGGTTATCAGTGGCAGGACGATCGATGTAGACTGCTCCCCGTGGACAACATCGTAGAACTTGTCCTTAGTTGGTCCTGGATGCTGGACGGCGTCGATATCGAGGGACTAAACAAGACAGGACATCAGCTCCACGAAGGAGATGTGAGATTCGTCCGGAGACGCAGGGCCCTAGGAGGTCACAGCGACGTCAGGGGAGGTTGAATCGACCTCCGAATCGTCAGAGTCGGTGCCGTAATACAGGGGAGCCAAGGACTCTGCAGGGGAGAAGGAGCAGCTACTTCCATCCCGAGGAGGTATTGGAGATGCACGCCTCGGGTCCGAAGACTGCGGTCGGTCGCAGGACGGTGGAGAAGATCGACCTCTAGGAGCAGGATAATATCTGACGGAGAGTGGGTCACCCCAAGCGTGATAGTAGGGACGATGCCATTCCTCCGAATGCTGCTCCATGGAGCGGCTCCTCTGGCTCCTAGGCGGGGACATCTGCACATCCGCCTCCATAGTGGCCACGGGCATAGGTGTAGGCGACCGAGCCCTAGGGGGGAGTCCTGAATTTCCCCATCAGAAATCGAGCCTCTTTGAAGAGTTGGAAGAGGCCCAGTGGAAAGGTCAGCCACACGGCGCGGGGACCCTTGAGGAGTAACCCGCATAGCATCCTGAAGTACCAGGTCGGGTGGATTCGGTACAGTAAGTGCCGCCGGTACCGAGGGGGCTGTCGAATCCGAGTCCCGGTGTTGAGGGTGCTCCGAATCCTTCGATTTCTTGGAAGGCTTCGAAACTTTCTTCTTTCTGGCCTTATGGCCTGCCAACTTGTCAGGTTCGGCATGCTTTCGCTTCTCATGCTTCTTCTTGGGCGAAGCAGAGGCAGCCACCATAGAAGGCGCTCCTTTGTCCGAAGGGCGTGAAGGTGGGGCCACTGAAGCAGAGCCAGGCTTCGGAGCAGCAACCAGTGGATTGGACTGCATGAGAGCCCAATCCCAGAGGAGCCTCTGGAGGCGATTCTCACAGTTCTTCCTGGCCTGCTTAGAGAAGGCCAGGCAGTGAGAGTACTTATCGGTCCTACACCCCTCACCCAAGCAGAGGAGGCATAGGTCATGCAGGTCGGTTGGTGACATTTTTGACCCGCACTCCATGCATTTGCGGAAAGCCGCTTGCTGTGCCATCGCAGGAAAGGAAAAAGAGAGAGATAGTGCAGAGGGTAAGTATATATTTTTGGTTTGTTTTTGTTTTTTTTAGATAGATCGAAAGAAAGGTAGAACGATAGAGAAACTTACAAGAATTATACGAAGTAGAGGAACTAACAGGAACAAGAACAAGAAGAAAATTCCAGGGCTATAACAACTGGGAGAACAATCGAGAAGAAAAGAGGCTATACGAGCAACGGTCAGAGCGATAGCGAAAGTGGCACGAGGCACAGCGAACAGCGGTCACAAAGACTGAACAAAATGGCAGACACTCCGCTCTTTATAGGCCATGGGGGAGGGGGAGCGGAGCTTTCCCGCCAAAAACTGTTAGCTTGTAATCTTCTGTCCAAAGGCACTGCGCAGGCACAGCACCCATATGTGTGATGCACAGAGGCCACAACGAAGAACAGTCTCCATTCATAGGCAGTATAGAAATCAAATAAATTAAACATAAATGGACCCTATAAGGAAAGCATACAAGCATTGAAATGGAAAGGGTTTTTTCCCATCATGTCTGTATTCTTCTAAAGCAGACCTCTCGCATCCAATAAATGCACATGTTGTCTGCATGGAACTGAAGATGACCTTATTTTGGTAGTAGATACTTTTCATAATTCAGATATCTCCTACCTCTACTGGTTATCTTAGCATAATTTGTCTTGTATCCCTAAACTGGTGTGAGTTTGGCCATCTGATTACTGTGGTTGTCCCTAAAGCAGCCTTCTCCTGAAGGGATACAGGAGCATTCTTTGTACAATCAAGGAATGTGTTCACATCTCCAAAGACGTTAGACTACAACTCTCAACTTGCCTCAGGCAGTCATCTCAGTTTCTGATGGTGCAGTGTACTGCCTTGTTAGATTCTTGGACTGGTAACTCAGGCGAGCCAAGTTCTAATCCAAACTCAGACCTGAAACTCAATGGGTACCTTAGGACCAATCACTGACTCTCAAACTGGACTAACTCACAACGGAGAGGAGGAGGATCGTGTATGCCACCTTGGGCAGCTTGAAGGAAAGTTGGGATGGAATTATAACAAAATAATAGCAACCCCTGCTAGGATGGAAGCCTCAGACTAAGGTTTCATACTTAGTCAGAATTACATACATGCAGATGTAAGAATTTGCCATTTTTCTGCTTGAATGAATAGACATGGAAGCCTTTTTTCAGAAGTGCAGCTTATCTGTGTGCTTAGGGCAAACAAACCACCTCCAACTATTTTGATGCATCTCTGAAATGTGCTCATACATGGACAAGGGTATGCAGCGGGGCAGTGTGTCCCTGCTGGCGTGTGGGTCCTCTGCTGGAGCCAGACCAGACTTACCTGCAGATCAAGCTTGATATGAGTAGAGTAAAGAGGAAATGATCTCAGCTCACCTAGCTAGAGCTGGCTGAAACTATGTGCTGTATCCCTTTTGTAGGGAGGATGCAGTATGAGTTGTTTGCTATGGATCTTCTGCATGCAATAGGAATGCATGTTTGCCACATCCATGCACTAGCTGCATATATGTAAATGAATAGATGGAGCAAAGTGTTCACAGTGTTCTCATCCCTAGGAATCTAAACCTGCAGTTCTAACTATCTGGGGACACCAAAGAAGATGTGTTAGTACACGGAGTCCTCCCTCATGCAATGCACAGTCTGCCTGAATGAGGGAAGATGCAGGTCTGTCTCCACTCTAAGCCCTTCAGGAAAATTATGTATGTATTTATTTCCTGTGCCATCCATTACTGAGGAAAGTCTCTGGACAGCTTACAAGGAACAAAAAACCAAGACAAAACCATAACAACAGCACACAGCACACTGCATCTGAAATAGTACTAAAAACAAGGATAAAACCAATCAATTGTTAAAATACTGGGAAAATAAAAAGGTCTTTGCCTGACGCCAAAAAGAATAGAGTGATGGTGCCAGGCAAACCTCTCTGCGGAACATATTCCACAGTTGAGGTGCCACTGCTGAAAAGGCCCTTCTCCAAGTAACTACCCTCCTGATTTGCTTCAAAGAGTGTTCCCAGAGAAGGGCCTCTGCCTCCAATCTCAGGGAGTGGTCACCATTGCCAGGCACTGCTCATCCAGGTAGGAATGGAGCTGATGCATCAGCCAAAGTTGAAGGAAAGTGCTCCTCGCCACTGCCAGTACCTGATGCTCCAGGGACAGGTCAGGGTTGAGGAGCACTCCCAAGCTGCGTACCATTGGGAAAATACCAGGGTTTTGAAAAATTCTCGTGTCTCCTGTCCCAAACCCCATGGATAGCATTTGTATGCTTCACTCTGCCACTGAAGATAGCCCCAGCAAGCAGGGAGCATCCTGGATATTCTAGCCCTGAGCAATTAATTGTGTTGTACGGAAGAGTAAATTTCTCTGCTGCACAGTGGTGGCCTTGAGGATGACAATAAGCTCAACACTCCCTGCTCCTCTAAGAGATCACATGCAGAGAGGAGCTCAGTCTTTCTCTGAGCTAATATCCTAAACAAGACTGCATCACAATAATAGATTGCCTTGAAGTTTCCCTTCTCCCTCCACAATTCTCATGGGATCTTTCTCCATTTCTTTGTATGAACTATAATGAACATGCCATGCAATAGGTTGTATTCAACTGTAGTTCTACTCAGAATCAACCTACTGAAATGAATGAGGCCTAAGCAAAACTAACAGTGGATACAGCCCATTGAGCCTTAGCCTATGGTATGTGAGTTCCACTTCTGAACTGCTCAACAGCATTAATCAAGTATTCTGCATGGAATGAAAGTGTACATGTTTTTTTCACTTCAGTAATTTACCACTGTGTGTCTTCCTGTGACGACTCCAGCAGTATGCTGCAACAATAACTAGGATAACAAGAATTAGGGCCAATACACCGATCAGAATAGCATACGGACGACTGAGTCCTGTAGGAAGAAAGGAAATGAGGCAGTAGGTAGCAAAATGGATAGGACTGTGTGTTCGAATTCTACATCAGCACAACTTCAGTACTGTGCCAACAGATATGGACTCTTCAACCTGCAGTTAGTATGAAAAATTATACTTGCTGTTGTTGATCTGAGCAAGTTAGCCTGCTTTGGCAGGGCACTATGCAGGGCTCTGAATTCTACATGGGCAACATGAAATTGCATGTGGCTACTCATCTGTCACATGAGATTTTGCAAACCCACTTCAAGTTTTTTCTGCAGGTTCAAAAACTATATACCTCCTTTTAAAAAATTTCTCAATGTACAAAATTACTGTACCCTAAAAGTGTTCAAGCAATCTGCTTTAGTGAGCAGGCAATCCTGGATTTAATCAGATGTAGGACACTGTACAGGATGGAAATGTTGTTGAACCAATTGGAAACAGTGATCATAGCACTATCAGATTTGGTATATCATTAGGGCCAAGATTGCTAAAGAGGTTTCATATAGTTGTACTGGATTTCAAAAGAGGAACTTCTCAAAACAAGTGAAGTGGTAGGAAGGAAGAGGAGAAGAAGGAGCAGGAGTCAAGAGGATTAAATTGTTTCAAAATGCTTGGAGATCACTAATAGAGGCACAGAGTATGCTTGCCAGAAGTTAGGAAATGTTGACTGGAGGCCAAGAGGTTGTCATCATAATTAACTCATAGAGTCAAGTAGGCTATTAAAGAGAAGAAGGCTTTCTTCAAGAAATGGGAATCCTGTCCAAATCAGGAAAACAAAAGGAAGTACAAGCTTGCACAAGGGAGATGCAAGCAGACAATAAGAAGGAAAGGCACGTTTTGAGGAGCACATCACTAACAACATCAAGGTCAACAATGAAGAATTCTTTAAATATCAAACGTATCAGAAACTAATCAGAGAGGCAGTTGGACCATTGGATGATGAAGGAATTAAAGCAGCACTAAAAGAGGATAAGGAGATTGCAGAGAAAATAAATGAATTCTTTTCAACTAACTTCTCAGCAGAGGATACAGAACAGATGAGTGGACCTGAACTTAGGTATTCAGGAAGTAAGTCCGACTAATTAAGATAGATTATAGTGACAAAAGATGAAATTCTCAACTGTGAATCACTGCACTGAGTGGTGTCCATCCTAGAATGCTTAAAAAACTCAAATATGAAATTTGACCTTCTTACAAAAATATTTAAGATCAGTAGAGTGGAGAATGGCCATTGTAGCAGCAATTTTAAAAAATGGACATGGGGATGTCTGGGACATTGCAGTTTGACATCTATTCTGAGTAAGTTGCTTGAAATTGTTACTAAGGACACAGACAGCCAAGTCCTGCTGCAAAAGAATTGGCGTGGCCTCCACAAAAGTAAATCCTGTCTTATCTAATAGTCTAACCCTGTCAGAGTTTTTTAAGTGTCAGTAACCTCATAGACAGGGGTGATTCAGTAGACGTTGTTTACTTGGACTTCCAAAAGACTTTTGACAAAGTCCCTCACCAAAGACTCCTGAGCAAATTTAGCAGTCATGGACTAGAAAGGTGAATCCTTTTATGGATCAGTAACAGCTTAGGAAAAAGAAAAGAGAGTAGGACTAAATGGTCATTGCTCTTAATAGAGAGACATAAAACTGCAACGTCCCATAGGGTTCTTTTATTAGGAGCAGTGTTTTGCAACTAATTCATAAATTAGGAGTAAGCAGCAAAGCGGCCAAGTTTGCTGATGATGCCAAATTATTTAGGATGGTCAAAACCAAATGGGATTGTGAGGAACTCCAAAGAATTCTCTCTAAGCAGGAAGGATGGGAATCGAAATGGCAAATGTGGTTCAGTGCAAGCAAATGTAAAAAAAATGCATGCTGGGCCAGAAAATCACAACTTGAAGTATAGGGAGCTGACAGGATATGACTGAACTAGAAAGGGTTGTTGTGGACAGTCCAGTGAAAATGTCAATCTAGCGCACAGCTGCACTACCGTTAAATTCCATGTTGAGCATAATCAGGAAAGAAATTGAAAATGGAACTACTAAGATGCCCTTATAGAAATCTTTGGTGCAGTCACGTTCTAAATATTGTGTATAGTTCTGGTCACTGGACCTGAAAAAGACCACCAATGGCTTCGAAAAAGTGCAGAGAAGGGCAATGGACGTGAAGAAAGCAACTCTCTCATGAGAAACAGCTACAGCAACAGGGATTGTTTAGCTTACGAAAAAGACTAGTAAGGAGGGACATGGAAGAGGTGTTTAAAATAATGCATGGTGTGGAGAACATGGAAAGTGAGATATTTCTCTCTGTTTCCCATACTACTAGAACATAGGATCAACCCACGAAGCAGACTGGTTGGGGTTTCAGAACAGATAAAAGAAAGTATTTCATCACTCAGTGCATAGTAAAACTATAGAATTCACTGCCACGAGAAGGTGCGATGGTGGCCAAACTGATGGCTTTAAAGGGGAATTGGACAATTCATGGAAGAGAAAGCAGTAAGTGAAAACTAGCCTTGTTAGCTACATGCTACATATTATCAGAGGTAACATGCAGCAGTTGAGGAGCCTGGACCTTTTCTATGCATCCTGTCTGACCCTGTGGATCACTGGTTTGTCACTGTCGGAACAAAGTGGCAAACCACTCCATTTAATGGACCAATGAACCATTGGTCTGATTCAGCATGGCTTTTCTAATGTTCTTCAACATATAATGCTTTATCTGTTTTCTACAGCTGTAGTATCACAGTGTAGATGTCATTCTCAGAATATAGAAGAAAACTAATAGATTATATTGGCCATTCATATTATCAAATAAATTAAACTAGGGTAAAAGTTTACTGCATTGTATTATCTTTAGTACACACACAATGTGTCTGTTTTCTGACCACTTGCCTTTTTTTCCTTGAAGCTTGATCTCCTTCTCTTCTCCTCGGTGTGAAACTTTGCAAATCACCTTTTGTTTAACATTCTGGATTGAGGTACTTATAATGATGTTGCTTATGACAGAAATTGTGCCATTGGGATTTAAGCTCTCGTATTCATTCATTTTGCTTTCTGGTGCAACCCATGAGATATTTGGACGTGGGAAGCCAGTTGCTAAGCAGGTGGCATTCAAATGACCGTCATAGATGTTGTGGTACAGAAAGGCATGGAGGTGATCTGCAACACAAACAAAAACACCCTCAACCATGAGGAATACAGGTAGGTGATAGAACACTGAAAATAGCCCAGTATCAATAAAAGAATCAGCTGGACTAGGGGTGTCCAATGGTCTTGGGCCACACGTTAAATACACATGCACTAACGAACACCGATGAGCCAAACAAAGTCTGTGCAGAATTTTCATGGTATCTGCCACCACTGTGTATACAAGTACCAAGTGCATAAGTACATTTATTTTATAAGACGTTATGGTGCGTCTTTGCTGTCAGCAAAGTTCACACTCAAGAACTGCATGGTTGAGTTACCCAAAAATCGCAAAAAGATCTCAATATTTGAAGTTTATACTTTATGTTGGGCTGCATCCACAGCCCATGGGCTACAGGTTGGACAGCCCTGAGCTAGGCAATCAGCAAAGATTTGAGTAGCTTCCAGTTTACATTGTGTGCACCCAAGTTCCACACAATGAAAAGTTTCAGGGGTTCCATAGTTCAGGTTCATTAGAGGGACATCACAGGACACTTAAGTAATTCCTGTGATATAAGCTACACTCACACAAAAACAAGTGAAGCAAAGGATAAGGGCTGACAGCATTACTGCACCAATAGATGCCTGCTACCCACTGGATAACAAGTGGGATTGACAGAACCATGGGATTTAAGACACAGGATTTCTATTGTTTTCATCAGGGACCTGATTAACACTTGGGAAGAGCAGGGAGAGAAAGGTAAGTCCCCTTTAGCACAGACTATGCTAAGGATGCACAACCTCTTTCAGCCCCAGGACCAAATTCAAATCAAAGAAGCTGATTTGGGCAGAGCAGAAGGCAAAAGTACAAAACCAAAGGCAAAAGGGATGCCCCCCACACCATATGGGCATGCACACATGTGCACATGCATGTACGTGTGCACGTGCGCACACAGGCAAACTGTAACTATCGACTCTTCTTGCCAGCAATTAAACCTTAGGCGAGGCATCTCAGTCTTTCCAAATGGGAAATAGACTGCACAAAATCCAGTAACCACCAAACAATACTTGGCTTGGAAAAAGTGAGTGGGCTGTTTGGAGGAACACAGGGATACCAGAATGCTTGAATTTATTCTTCTGGCTCTGAGTTTCCCATTCTCTGACATCTCTAATATAATACTGTTATGTTATTCAGTACTTCATAGATGTAGGAGAACTCAGTGTGCAACACAGCAATGTTGACTTTATCTGGCTAAAAGAAGGGATACGTACATTTTAATATCAAAACTGGCATGGTGATTTGTTTTCTAGTGTACCATACCGAAGACTTATGCTGTGTGCTGTACTGGCAAAGGAGATACTGAGACTTCTTAACATATTTCTCAACTGTAATACCAGTAGCTAATGAGTTGAGAGTTGTTACTTTTAAACAAATTAGTTAGCCCTCAGTTCTTATCTAGAACTGTTTGTTCTTATCTATTTTCAGAACTGCAGTTCAAGCTTGCTTACGGATTATTCAAATCATACCCTGCTTTTCTTGCAAGAAAATGATGCTCAATGTAGCTTACAATCATATTCAAACAGAAATTAAAATAAGAATAAAAGGCATGCATTAAAACAAAATTAAAAACAGAACAAGAACAAAATAAAACAGCACTCAAACCAATAGCTAGGTCACATGCCTGCTTGAATAATTTTTTTCTGCTGGTGGAAGGAGAGCGCAGAGGAAATCAACCTAGGCTTCCCCAACACAGAATTCCATAGCCCAAGTTTACACTGAGTCAAATAAGAAGTATAAATTTGAATGCCCTCATCCATCCTGAGGCTATCAACAAAGCTTTTTTTTTAAATGAAACACAAATATCTAGCACAATATTTAAAAGAAGGTCTATAGCTGCAACCTCTTCTTTTTAACTTTTAACCTCTTTTTTTTAAACTCTAGTCTAGCAGGTCATTACAAGACACCATACAGCGCATGTCTATAATACAGGGAAACTCTGCTGGGATTATTTTAATGGACAGACTCACCATAAACCAGAAGACAGGGTCGTCCCCTCACTTCTCCAGTCATTGTTGCAAATATGCATTGATAGCAGCCATTATCATTGATGCTAACGTTCAAAAAAGTGATGGCATTTTCTTTGTTTCCTAAAGTTGTGAACTTGATTTTGTCTTTGTATGTGGGAAGAATATTTGGACCTGCATCTTCGCGGAAAGTCGCCATATTTTCAGCGTTTCCATTAATTTCTTTCCTCCATGTAACTTGAAAAGTGCTTTTTGCATACTCTGTTCGGTTACATCTCAAGGTACCAGTGCCACCAAGTTCCACTTCGTCATTTTGTGTTCTAACAGAGCCTGTAGCAACACAACATCATTCTTAACTGAGAATCATCAGTCCTTTCCAAAGCTCACAACACTCTTGACCCTGAGTCAAGGCAATATGAAACAGATAAACACCTGGTGAACTGGAAAAGCTTAGGACAATAAGGGACTGCATTGCTTTGCTTCTGGACTGCATTGTATGTAATGCTACTAAATTATAATCAGGATTATAAGAACTAGTCAAGGTAACCTGTGTGCTCCCGCATTCCTACCTCTTCCTCTAGTGCAGCCAGGAGCTCATGGCAGTACAGGAAGAGTTATTATTTTATGATTTATTTCATTTCTATGCAGCCATTGCCAAAGCTGTCTGGAAAGTTACATCAATATATAAAACAAAACAAAAATACAATATACATACCATAAAAACAGCAATGCTGAAATGAATTTAAAAATAATTTAAAAATACAGTAAAAAGACCCAGTAAAAAACAAAGATCACCTGGAAAATACCCTCAGGGCCCTGGATATCCAAGGAGATCTTTAAAGGTCTCCACATAGAGTGCAGTTCTGACCTGCTACTGAAAAAGTGGCAAATATGGCACCAGGCAAGCCACAACAGGGAGGTTGTTTCAAAGATGGAGGGGGCACTACAGAAAAGATCCTCCTCCTTGTTGTCACCCTCTGAGCCTCCTGGGTGTTGGCAGATTGTGGCTGAGAGAGGCATTCTGACAGGTATTCCAGTCCTAAGCAATGTAGGGCTTTGTAGGTTAAAACTTGAACATTGAATTTGGCCAGGAAGCATACAGGCAGTGAATGCAAGCTGGCTAGAACTGGATCTGCAGGTCCCAGTTATTAATCTGACTGTTGCACTCTGTATGCTTTCTGCTTCATTCTGTAAGCTACAACTTCTGAACCATCTTCAAAGGCAGTTCCATGTAGAGTGCATTGCAGTAATCTAGAGATTACCAGAGCATATATTTCAGAAGCCTGGCTTTTTTTGTCCAGGTAGGGGCAGAGCTAGACCATCAGCCAAAGCTGTTAGAAGGCTCTCTGAGCCACTGAGGCCATCTGAGCTTCAAGTGACAAAGATAGCTTAAGGAGGACTCCCAACCTATGAACCTGCTCCTTTGGGAGGAGTGGAACCCCATCTAGAACAGGAAAGGGAACCACCCACACGCAGTATCTCAGTCTTGTCTGGATTAGCTTCAGTTTGTTGGCCCTCATCTGTTCCACTGTTGTAGCTAGGTGCCAGTTTAGCACCTCCACAGTCTCACCTGCTGAAGATGAAAAGAAAAGGGTTGCATGTCATCAGCATACTGATGGCAACACACTCCAAAACTCCAGATGACCCCACTGAGTGGTTTCATAGAAACACTAAACAGCATGGGCAAAAGAACAGACCCCTGAGGCACTCAATGCTGGAGAATCCATGGGGCTGAACATTATTCCCCAAGCACCACCTTCTGGAAATGGCCTTCCAAGTAGAAGCAGAACCACTGAAGTGCAATATCCCTAATTCCTAACTCAGACAGTCAACTTAGAAGGGTACCAACCCATAGTTAAGATTAACCACAGTTTAGAGTTTGGACATAATGCTAAACTGTGGTTAAGCTAAGCAGAATCTTCTGGTCTCATCCTTATGGATAAACCAAAGCAGAAGAAAGGATAGGGAAACATATTGGCATTGGCTACAGCTTACCCTCATAATGCTAGATCTTGATTAAGCATTATATGCAAGCATCAGCTCTAGCCCAAACCAAAACCATTTCCATAAACAATTGCCCTACCTCAGAAGCAGGGTCCTCTGCCATTTTGTGTGGATGGATATGTGGTCATGTCTCCTGGGGCCCCAGGTTCCTCCTAGTCTTCTGACATAGGCTGTTCTGGAGTGCTCGTTATCGCTGGGAGCCTTAGCTCCTGCTATGAGGAGGATTCCTCCAGTGAGGGCATGACACCCTGCAGCCAGGTCCATGGCTAATATGGTCCCAACAGTCTCTGTGACCTTAGCACAGGGGAAAATGCAATTTGAAAGCACTCACCTCCTCTTCCTTCTGTCTGGTCCCATTCTGGTCTGAGACCATCTGCCAGGACCTCCTCATTTGTTTGGCTTCCCAGTTATTTCCTCTGCTATTGTTGTGCATGAAGCTCCAACAGAAGCAGTGATTCATGAGGAGGACTTGCACTTGACGACCAGTGTCCAAGAATTGACCCCACAACTCAGCGTAGGGACAGCAGAGCCAGCTGCTGCGTCTTCCTCTGACTCCCAGCATGTTGAGCAAACGCCTGGTCCTTTATTAGAGCCAGGGAGTCATGAGAAAGAGGAAGCTGCAAGTTCTATTCAGAAAGAGGCTGAGCAAACTGCCTCTTCCCCCCCTGATGCTGATCTCCCCAAGTCAGAAACAGAAGACACAGTAGGCCTTGTGGATTTTTCAAAAACTGAGAACGGGAGGATTTTACGTAGATATCAACAATGGCAAGATTTATTATGTAGGAGGGAGGAAAGGCGTGACTTGGGAGAATGATCCCACATGGGCTTGGGAAGAGAAGCCATTAGGGGGTTAACATCTGTATAGCACGGGCCGCTATTAGAGAGCTTATCTATAGAGTTGTAAATCTTGTAGACAATTAGCATTAAAGGACTTTAGTTTTATTGCTGGTGAATGTGTGGATTGTTTACATACTGGGCTGGTGAGACCTCACAGCTATTGGTTCTTATAGATGGTCCTGGTAGATGGTCATCTTCTGCCTGACTCACATCAAGTACTACTACGTAAGCTACCCATGCTTTGTGAGGCTAACCTGTGCCTAGCCTTGGATGTTGCTTGGATTCTTTATCAACAGATAGTTCCTTCATCTGGCTCCCCTTGACTGCCATCCTTACTGTTGCTCATCTCGCCTGTCAAGTCCTGAGTGATCCTTACTCCATACTGTGCAAATACATAGAGTTGGAAGGGAACATTTAACCCTGGGGTCCAACCTCCCGCCCAGTGCAGGATTCCTGCTTAGTGCAGGAATACCATATACCCATTACTTTGGTTTCTTTCAGGCAGAGGACATGCACATCTCCAAATATCCAGATACGTCTTTCTCAGATTACTTATTATATCTTCCCTCTCATTATGGAATTCTGGCCAAAACTGGAAAATTTAAGAGAGGCCTATGACTGAAGCATTTTCAGTAAGTGTGAATGTGTCTGTACGCATGTTTTACCGAATTTGCAAGCAAGAAAAGAGACTGTTCAGTGCCACAATTTGTCTGTCACAGTAGCTGATTTTCCTTAAGGATTTCAATAGTCCTAAAGTACAATTACACTGTAGTTGTTGTTCCACAACCAATTATTAATATTTATATTTGGATCATTATTTCTCTCAAGGTGTCCTAACAATAAAAAATCATTCATGGATAATTAAATAGTCCATCATAAAGCTGAAAAAAATACACATAGCACAACTCACACAAAGCCTGGGTGAACAAAGATGCTTTTAGTTGTTGCCTAAAACACAGCAAAAAAGGGTCCGCTTTCCCAGGGAAGGAATTGGATGCCACCACTGAAAAGACTTACCTTGTATCCTACACAGCATTATAGATATGATACACAGAGTCAAGCTGTGGGAAGTCCACAGTGAACAGATACCTCCATTTGCCTAAAAACAGAAAGAAGAGGTGTGTTATGGAACTACAATAGATGTTTGTTATTACACTGACACATTCTTTTGGTTTTAGATATAGCCCAAGTACATAATGAAAAGAAGATGACAGCATAGGAGTTCTTCAAAGCAAGAAAATAACCATTTCAACCTTCCCAACTTACCACTTTCACATCTTGTGTGCATTTCACATGGAGAAACCTTTCTGCAGCAAGATGTGAAAGCTGAAAGATACCTATGGGTTGTCAAATGAAATCTGAATTATTTTGTATATCACTTAACATATTATAACTTGGAAAGTAACAATTGGTTTAGCCTCCCAATGCCCCACGCCCCACTTTTGTGCAGTGATATACATGCAGATGTAATGATTAAATGGGTGATTCTCATTGGTTTTGTAGGATTCCTTGAGTACAAAATGCATAATGGGTTGAAATAATCCAGAGAACATCCAGCAAACAGATTCAAAGGAAACCTCCCTGGCATTAGCCAATTGGATTATGTTTCAGAAGTCAATGGCCATTAATGGTTATTACAATTTGTAGGTACAACTTCACATGTCATACAGAACTACTGAACCTCTTTCAGTCTGAGGGTCAAATTCAGTTTCAGTCAAAGCAAAAACATTAGTTCCAGTAATTAAGTTTTAGAAGGGTTTTTGCAGGGGTTAGTAAGGAGGAGACTGCAAAAAATTCAGGAAATTGCTAAACAATTACTGGTTTGAGGAAAGGAGCTGAGGCCAGGGAAAGGGCCATAACTATCTAGGAAACCTCAGAGTGCTGGACTGGGACCCCAGGATGGCCACATTTGGCTCATGGGCATCAGGCTCAATCCCTTAATGTAGCATGTACAGAAAACAGCAGGTCCCGCATTCATGAATTGCAGGACTAGTGAGGTCCATACCTCATAATGCTTTATAAAGCCATCCCCCCACCCAGAGTATTTTTAAGGAACATCATTTGGCAAACTTTGGGGGAAGTCAAGGGATGGAGCTTGTAGATTTGGTGATGGTTGCTCCCACCTGTCCCCCATAATTTGAGCTATGCGTCTGCTGGTATTTCCTCCTCCATTGCAGCTAACTGCTGCATCACAGCAGCCTGCTTATTTATCATCGCACATGTTATGTTTTTTCTCATGTTATACTCTGAACCTGAATGATGACAAAAGCTATTCCAGTGACAAACCCTGGTAAGCCCCTGGCTCAGATTCAGCCTGTATAAATTTCTCATATACACACCACCATCCAAGTAGCAGAAAGTTGGACCCTATGGCTTTAATGGCCCCTTCTCACTCCAATAGAACAGCCGTTTTCAACTGCAGGGAGGGGAGAGACAGCTCAGTGGGAGCTGGCTGGGAGCAATGCTGCACTGATTTCAGTATTTTGTTCTTTTTTTGGATTTTTTTTGCTGCTCAGTTTCTAGTTGTTTTGGGGATTTTTTTTTTTTTTTTTTGGTATTGTGTTTGGAAACTAATAAACTAATACATGGAATATTTTATTACGTGTATGGTGCTTTTCGTTTCTGCCTCAGTAGTCTCCAAGGTGGTTTTCCTGTTTTCACTAGTCTCCAGCTGTGGAAAGGTTGAAAACTACTGCAATAGAACATGCATAACTTGGCCTGTGCTTAAAGGAGCTACTCCTCCAAATGCTAGCCAAATGTGCTGTGCCCATCAGAGTATGGGTGATTCGTAACAGCCACCAACACTGGTCTACACATTTTGGAAAAGTATCGACCTCAGAGATAAAATGTGCTAATTCTTACATATTTGATTAGATGAATTATAAAACAGGTAATAAAGGTGCTGGTTGGCTAAAATTTTCAAAATATTTCACAATAAAGATTTATACACAAGCGAGTATATTTGCCTACAAGGGAGGGAAGTATCTGATGATCATGATGCCTCGTAACCTCTCAACAAAGTACGGTAGAACAATGAAAACGGTACCACATGGAAGTGTATAAATATATCTTCACTTTGAGACTAAAGATTATTACCTAACTGTAATTTATTGTTTGATTTATTTATTTGGAGTTTTTATATGCTGTCCCATCGCTTAACGCCTCGGGATGGCTTACATAAATAAACATAAATAGACAACATAGTGCCCAATACAAATACAAAAAATATAAATTGCACCAATTAAAAACCCCGATTCATTCTGGATGGAAATTAAAATATATAGATAATATTAAACATTGTTAAAAAATTGTTTAAATAAAAAGGTCTTAGCCTGGCGCCAAAAAATAAATAACGACGGCGCCAGGCGGACCTCTCTGGGGAGCGCATTCCATAGATGGGGCGCCACCGCAGAGAAAGCCCTCCTCCGGGTACTTTGCCTCCTGATGTTTTTCATGGAGGGCTCCCGGAGGAGGGCCTCTGCTGCTGATCTCAAGAGGCGGGAGGGCAAATATGGAAGCAGGCATTCCTTCAAGTATCCAGGTCCCAAGCTGTTAAGGGCTTTTATTGCAAGGTACATTTGTCTTGGTCCAATTTACGCATCATACAGTTACACCTGGTGGTTTGTGGAAGTGTCATTGCCTGACATTTCCAAGGAATAGTTGTGTGATATTTTCCCTTAGAAGCTGCCTTGAAACTATGTAAACAACCCAGATAACTTCTGCTACATTTATGGCAAAGTTATATTTGCATCTCAAAAGTGCAGTATGAAGGCAGTGCTAAAAAAGGCATACCACCTATATTTTGGATGCAAAATAGGACATCAGGACAAGAGTTGGGCCGCTCATTATTGTTGTATTACGTATACAACTTATCTGTGTCATTGGCTAAACAAGAAGAAAAAGTCCATTCCCTTTGAACTGTGGGGCAGTGAGTGATGAGCATGGGGAGAGATTGGCATGGAGAAAAGATACCAAGGGAAATGGGAGTCTGTCCATGCTTGCTGATTACTGCTAGAACCTCTCTAGGGATGATCCTAGTGCAGTTCACAAGAGAAAAGCCAAAAAGCACAGTTTAGATACCAAATAAAGATGGATCCTTGTCGTTTAATCTGATGTTAGAGCTTGTCAGTTTTTTGTGCAGAAAGCATGAAAATGTTACATGAAAAACCAATGAATGAATGGAAAGTTATGTTGTTGGTACCAATAAAAAGTTAAATTTATAATGATTGGTGTGGCACCATTCTCATTGCTATATCACATTTTGCAGAAAAGTTACAGAGAATAATCACACGTCCCCCTCTTAATTTTGAATATTTTTGATGCAACTTTGACCTGAAGTTGTATCTTGGAAACTGGAGCCAATTAATACTCAGGACTTAATTTTCCTTTATTAGTGACCCGACTCTGGTAAAATTTAGCTACTTTCATTTCTGAGGCTTTCTCCTGGTAGACCAGTGCAATTGGAGGAGCTGCTAGGCAAGCCCCTTTCTCTGCACAGAGAAAAGCATTGTGGCTCTCTGGGGCTGGGGGACTGAGACTGGGCAATAGTTCCTTTCCTAAGGCCACTTGGCAGGTTCACAGCACTTGAAATCGCTTGGCAGGTTCAGAGTACTACTAATTTGTAGTACATTCCCACTGCAATAATCTTGACAACTGTACAGTTGAGAATGTTTAAGGAACAAACTGTGTATTATGAGAGGGAAATGAGACAATTGTTGAGAAACAGGGTTTTTTTTTCTGGGAAGAAAATTAGATGAAGGCAGAGGTTTTAGGTGAAGCATTAACAGGGGAAACATCTGTGATGAGAACGGCAAGGAACAATGGGAGAACTCAAAAGAAAAATAAAATGACAAATGAGCAGACTCTGCCTTGAAGGTCAATGGCAACTTGTAATGACATAAAGAGAACTTCAGAATTCATACTGGTGCAATCACTTTATCAAGATAACTCGAAGTTCACAAAAACATGCACATTTTTGAGATATCCAGCTCTCTTTACCAGGGAAGATGTTAGTAAAAGCAGAATGGGTGGCAATGGCTGGGGATTTGATGTGAAGTCATGATATCTGCACCATGGTCAGAATCATAAGGTTCCCTCTGGGAAGAAGGCTTTGTAGACCTTCAGACTGGGCTCTAGCAGATGCTAGATGTTTGAGGTTTCACTTGTATCTGCTCCTAGGATTGCCAGGTTCAAGAAAAACATAGACAATAGTTGATCACCTACTATTGAGACTGTAAGATCCAGCTGTTAATCAAACTGATTCCCATTTTGGGCAAATTTCATAGGTTCCTTGATCTGCCAAAAATGGAAGTATCCTCAGGATACTAAGAGCAGCCAACATGATCAGCAAAAGTTAGCAGAAAGGAGTTTCTATTAAGCACCAGACTGGAACACTCCCGTTGTGCCTTGTGCACAGTCAGGAGGAGAAATAGGCCAGGAACTGTTTTTAAAGGTTTATATCCAATTCCTGGCTAAACTATAGGCTAAAATCAACTCTACTCTATTAGTCAAGCTAGAGTTTATTTTAAACATTGATTCCTGGTTTCTGCTTAATGACAAGCCTGGAATCAAGCAAACTGTAACCAAACAGTGCTTTATTCCCCCCCTGTCCACAGGGAAGGAGGACACATTTGTGGGAAGCACACAACAGCTCTGCTCAGGCTTCTTTCTGCTCATTCCGAAAAGGTAGAGGTGGTACGTATCTGGAGTGCAGCGGCCCTGGCCCTCCAAGCTCCCTCACCAGCGCCGCCACTACACTGGACAAGCAGGGCACTCTTGCTTGCACATTCTGCTTCCTGGTTCTGCTGGAAGTGGGACACATGAGGATGAATCTTCTCACTGTGCCACTTGCCAGCAGAGCCATGGGGCTGGGACCCTGTCTCTCTCCACCCAACAATAGTACTCAATAGTGCTATGACAGTTTAAAACTTCCTCCCTATAGCAGTGACCTTAAGTACTTGGGTAGCAGCCTAGTCAGACCATTAGACCACCCATTTTAGTACTGATGAGGCTGACCAAAAAAGGATAACTGTGATGCACTCTCCATGGGGCTCAAAAGCTGCAGCAGCCAAACTGATAACTGGGACAAGAAGGTCCAAACAGATACCCCTACTTCTGGGTCCCTTGCTCTAGCTGCCTGTATGCTTCCAAACCTTGATTTCAACAGCTCTTGTCAATTCCAGATGGTGGCCTCCCTTATGGAGTCAGTCCATCTCATAATTGGATATACAGTGGTATCTTGGCTCATGAATGCTTCAGTTCATGACCAAATTGGGTCGTGAACAAAAACTTTATGAAAAATTTAATTCAGGACGCGAACTCCGCATTGGGTGGTGACCATGATCGCGGCTGTCTCCCCACCCCCCTGAGTGGGAGATGGCCACGATCATGCTGGGGGCAGGGGGGAGATGGCCAAGATGGCGCCCGTCTTTCCTGCAGGAACGCAACCATGATCTTGGCCATCTCTCCCCCCAGCATGATCACACCTGTCTCCCCCCCAGTGCGCCCGCATTCACGCTTGTCTCTCCCCCCCAGAGCACCCATGTTCGCGCCCATCTCTCTCCCCCCCAGAGTGCCCCGTTCACACCTGTCTCTCCCTCCCGCAGCGCGCCCCATTCACGCCCGTCTCTCCTTCTCCCAGCCCGCCCGCAATCATGCTGTCTCCCCCCCAGCAGGATGACGGGCGCATGCAGGGATGACGGGCGCAATCGGGCTTGTGCTGGGGGGGGGGGGAGACGGCTGAGATCTTTGTTGTTCTTTGTCACTTTGCTTCACATTTTTCTGCTTAAAAAATCAGTTACAGAACAGATTAACCTTATTTACAATGAACCTTATGGGGAAATTTAACTTGGGTCATGACCAGAGTCCTGGAACGGATTAAGTTCATGAGCTAAGGTACCACTGTATTTCTTATTCTGCCTTTGATTTTCCGCAGTGTGGCTGTCTTCTCCGGGAAGTTTTGCCTTCTCATGATGTGCCCAAGTATGACAGCCTCAGCTTTGTCATTTTAGATATAATAAGTAGAATTAAATCATTTTTTCAGGAAGTTGTTTGTTATTTTTATTAAATGATTTCATTTCATTTTTACCCAGTCTTCCTTCATGAAAATGACAGTCAAGGCAGCAAACAATCTCCAATACACAAAAATTTGATCAAAGCAATACTTAAACAAATATGTTAAACAGCTCCACAGTTGAAAGCAGTATAACTGTGTTATTATTTCAGATGACGTTATGCTTTCATTCATATTGTCCACCTTTTCAGTACCTATTAAATAATGGAAAGTGATTTCTAGACCACAGTTATTAATACAGTGCATATCTGGGCGAGGAATTTCTGCCATCTCCTGCTGGTGACTCTGGCTACTGGTTATAGTAGCCTGAGCAATGGGTCAATAGCTTTTAAAAGCATAAGCAACCATGTTGCAGCTCTTTGAAGTTAAAACCACATTGACATTACTCAGCACAGGAAGCTGTATGGGAATAAACCCTTGTCATGCAGATCCACCAATATAAATTACCAGTTCACTGTCTTTTACCTTGTACATTCTATTAAAAGTTTTTTCTCTCTTCCTATTTCTGTCCTGCAGTAAGTATGTTCGACCATATCCAATCAGCATCAAAAGGGCTTAGAAATGCTCTCAGGCTGTAATCCAGTGAATCTTTAATTATGATTGAATGCCACTGAATACAGTGGGATTTATTTCTGAGTCAGAAGCTATTTTAATACAAGAGCCCTCCAAGCCTTCTTCCTGCTCTATATCTTCAGGCCAGATGGCTACCCCGTGCCTTTATAGCATTACATAGTGCATAGATCTTACCTTACGATGCATGCTACTGTGGGGCAGGAAGCAGAACATATCAGCGTTCAGCTGCTGGCTGAGCTAAACAGTGAAAGAGGGAAAAGCCACAGGTTGGACAAGCTGACTTTCTGAAAGCCCCTCCCACTGGAGGGGAATTAGTGCTTGGCTCCATACAGAAGCAGGAAGCCTACCCTTTTGTAAACTCTGGGAAGTCTGCTATAAAACATTTTGCATGCCGAGCTTTAGGGGTTTTATATGCATGCTGTTGGGGTTAAATAAAGATTACAGAGCTCTAACAAAAGTGTATGTGGAATTTGGGATCCATTGAGGCTCATGATCATGTTTGCAGCGTCTGTGGAACTGCAGACTCTGCAATCCATATCAGAGAGGAACTAGAGCTGCCTGCTAAGAAAGGAACGGGTGGAATATAGAATATATCTTCAGATTATTAGGAGCCCTAAATTACATTGCATCTGAACATGGATTTTTTTTCCAAATTAAAAAGTAAGTACTTTATTGTTTCAGTTTTCTAATGTTACGTTATTTATATTAGTTTGATTTTGAACAAAACCTGACATACTCCAGAAGAAAATGTAACCTTTGTTCTGTGGAGCTTGGCTCCTCAAAATTCTTAACATTGTAAATCCAAGAAAATAAGGGTGAATAGTTCCATTTATGGATGATACGTCTTCCAGATTTTGTGGATTCTCCCTCCCTCCACCCTGCAACTCACCTCATTCAGCAGCATTCCCCAATCCTCTGTGTGGCTTTTCCAGGCTTCAGGAGAGGTTCTCAAAGGGGCAAGGAAATGTACTGCCCCCACTTGCTAAAAGTACTGCCCCTTTCACCAGCCCTTTGGCACATGTCTAAGTCTGGATCCCCCCAATGGACAGAAAAAAGTTCTGGGAGAACTTGCACACATTACTGAACTGGGCTAGCTAGCAGCACAGAATACCCGCTTATCGCTTATTGAACCTAGCCCACCCTTGCGCACGGCACACCTACTTGCTAACTACTTGATCTGAAAGGTACAGGGTATACCCCGACCCTCTCAGAGTCATGTAAGCATGACCATGCGAAACAAAATAAAACAGGAACAAGGTGGGGATGGCTATGCACAAGAAGCACGAGCGCAAGGTCAGGCAGGGAAGATAACATGTCTAAGAGGCCTGCAAGACCCGGATACCAGCGACGATTAGGAGCGGTCAGCAGAAACGGTGGCAAGAGACGTGCCGAAGACATACATCAGTACTTTTCCAGAGATAAAGAAATGCTATAAAAAGGCTTGTAATACCATACATAGGCACCGCACTTTACTAAAGTGTTGGTCCCTGCGCAGGTAAAATAAAGGAGCTTCTCCTCCTCTCCACTCTGGTCTTGTGGTCTGTTTGCCAAGGACTGACGAGGCGTCCTTTGGGATATAACATTTACATTGTACCCACTCTGTTATTTATTTTTTACCTATTTGCAATGTTTATATGCTACTCCACTTCTAAATCGATTCCTGAGTGGTGAATGATAAAATGTAAAGAAGTATTGAATGTCCTATTACAATGCTTCTTTTTAAAAACAGTGCTAATGAAAGAATGAATGGTCTATCTAGGAAAGCATTTTGAAATAAAGATGTTTTCAGGAGGCGCTAGCAATAATGCAGGGTTGGTTCCTACCTGACCAGCCTAGTCTGTGTATTCCATAAAAAGGGAATGACCACACTGAAGGCTCTTCACCAGCTAGATTCCAGTCAGGTCTTAGGTCCATGTGTGCCATCTGTTAACTTCGGTGACCAGGCAGGTTGGTAAGGGAGAAGGCACTCTCACAAGCATCCTGGTCGCAAGTTGTTTGGAGCTTTATATTCTAGTACCAATACCTTAAACCTGGTCTGGCAGAGAAGAGGCAGCAAATATGATTCCCTCAGTAAATGAGTAGTGCTCCTGAAAACAAGCAAAGTTGCTGTATTCTGCACAAGCTCCAACTTCTGGACCAGCCCTAAGGGCAGCTCCACATACTGTGCAGTAATTCATACTAGTTAGTGCCTGTACTATTGTGGCCAAGCTATTCCTATCCAAGAGAGGCTGTAGCAGGAGAACCAGATGCAGCTGGTAAAACATGCTCCATGGCCCCCTGGTCTTCCAATGACAGTGATGGAGTAACCCCAGACTACAAATCGGATCAAAGGGAGTGTGACCCCATCCAGAATAGGCAATCAGCCTATCCCACTGAATTAGGAGATACCCATGGAACTTCCATCTTGTCAATATTCAGCCTTGGCTTGTTAGCTGTCATCTAAACAATCACTGAGCCTAGGCTTACATAGTATCACCTGATTCAGATGTCACAGATAGAGAGAGCTGTGTATCCTCAGCATAGTAAACCCCCTTATGACCACTCCCAGGAGCTTCATATAGATGTTGAATAGCACTGGGGAGAAGATGGTACCCTGTGGCACCCCATAGCTCAATTGCCAAGGGGCCAAAGCATGGGCACTCTGTGTTACTCCCTGAAATCAGTCCTGCAGATAAGACTGTAATGATTGTTGCATTCTCCTTGTCCCTCTTCTAGGAAGATTGACTTGGTCCCACAACCATGTAAGACTCAGAGTGAAATTGGTCTAGATGATCAGTATCCTCCAAGAGTGCTGGCAGTTATTTTGCCATGACCCTTTCAAGTACCTCCCTAAAATGGGGGCATTTGTGAGTGGCCGGTAGTTATCAAATAGCAGGGAGTCCAGAGTGGATTTCTGCAGAATTGGTCCCATTGTTGCCCTCCCACCCACCCAGACAGCAGGAAATACCCTTTATGCAAATATGCATTACCATTCTTTGGAGTCACATAATGCAACTACCTTGGCTAGCTTTTATTAACAAGGATTGCGAGGGTACATGTTTGGTTGAATTGCTCCAAGCAGCTTGTCCCCCTTGCCAGGCAGCAGCAGCAGCAACTGAAACTGATCCCACAAAACTGGGCAGGTGGTGGTGTCAGACACCTCAGCTGGAGCTGCGCTAGCAACATCCAGGTTGCTATGGAGGTATATGAGAGCCTGAGGATGGTGGTAGAAGGGGAACACTGTATAAATATGTGTCACCCATTCTGCTTCGGTGTCCTCCAGACCTCTTCCTCCTCTCATATCTTTCTGCCCCAGTCAAAGGTATCTCTATGGTTCCCTGGGTCAGTTTTCTAGGCACATCATTACTACACTAAAACTTCCCACACACTCTCAGTACCCACTCAGAACTCAAGCATATTGTGGGGGGGGGGGAGCAAAAACCCAGGAATTTATTTATAAATAATCATGCATTCATTTTTTCATGTTCAAGCTTCAGTCACCTTCAAAGTACTCTCCATTTGATGCAATACACATTATCAAGATTTTTTTTCCCACTGCTCAAAACAGACTTTGAACTCATCACTTTTGATACATTTTAAGTGCTTCTGCCATTTTTTGTTTCACCTCTTCCACTTTTGTTTCACCATTTCCCTTTGAGGACTTTTATGATCCAGGGAAACAAACAAACAAACAAAGTTGCACAGGGCAAGATCAGGTCAATAGGAGGATGTGTTTTTGGTCAAAAACCTGCTGAACAGTCAGCTGAACAAAATTTCACCACCACACATTGTTCATGTAAATCAGCCATCACAAAATAGGCAAATGCATGGAAAGAGTCTCCAAAAAAAACCTCATTGAAGCTGAACACAGCCTCTCACAACAACCCAGCTGGGTACACCAACACAGATGAATTCCTAGAACACTCACCTGGTGAAGGAAACCTATACTACAAGGGGCCCACCTCCCAGAAGATAATTCCTGATTTTTGTGGTGGGGAGGTCCCCCTTGGAATCTCATCTACTCCATTCATGTAACCAATCACATATGATTAACCAGGCACAATCACAGATTATAGTCCATATGGCTCTGTGGTATACTTTGAAACTGAGAGCAATGAACCAATACAGGAGATGGTTTTAAGTGTGGCTGGGAAAAGAACCTTCACTGGAGTCCTGGTATGTGCCTACAGTCTGGTATGTTTAGGGGCAGTGAGGGTGCCAAAGAAGGATCTCACTGTCTCTATCCAGTCTTCTATCCAAGGACAATTTCAGTAGTTTTTAATACTTTCAGCCATGGCATCCTTCTGGGACAATTGTCTGAGCTGGGAGTAGGGATTATGGGATTTCAGTGGTTTCATTCCTACTTGGAGAGTCAGTTCTAGAAGGAAGTACTTGGGGTGGGGGCAAAGATTGACCCCTTAGAATTTCCAGTGTGGGGCTCCTTGGGGGTCAGTCCTGGCTGCCATGCCATTTAACATCTACATGAAACCACTGAATGGTCATCCAGGATTTGGGAGTGCACTGCCATTAGTATGTGAGGAGCGCTTTCCTTCAGCTTTGGCTAATCCATCAGCTGCGTCCCTACCTGGAGGATGATTGCCTAGCGACAGTGACACATGCATTGGTTACTCCCTGGTTGGATTTCTGTAACGCGCTCTATGTGGGGCTGCCCCTGAAGACAGTCTGGATACTTCAGATGGTGGAAAACAGAACAGCCAGGTTGCTGACGGGGACTGGGCTTTATTCTCACATAACCCCAGTCCTCTACCAGCTTCACTGGCTTCCCATCAAAGTCCAGGCTCAATTCAAGGTGCTGGTTATTACCTATAAAGCCCTTAACAACTTGGGACCTGGATACCTGAAGGAACGCCTTCTTCCATATTTGCCCTCCTGCCCCTTGAGATTGGCAGCAGAGGCTTTCCTCCGGGAACGCTCCGTGAAAGATATTAGGAGGCAAAGTACCTGGAGGAGGGCTTTCTGTGCGGTGGCACCCCATCTATGGAATGTGCTCCCCAGAGAGGTCCGCCTGGTGCAGTTGTTATCTGTTTTTTGGTGCCAGGTTAAGACCTTTTTATTCCAGTGGTATTTTAATAAGTTTTAATATTGTCTTTGCTATGTTTTTAATTGCAGCCAGTGTGGGTCGGGAATTTTATTTATGTTATTTATGTTGTTTATGTTATGTTTTGCATTGTGAGCCGTTCTGAGGCTTTTTTTGCAAATAGGATGGCATATTCATATTTTTAAATAAATAAATAAATAAATAACATGTTGATGAGTTGCAGATCTATTTTAACTTTTCATCTTCAAGAAGTGAAGCTGGGGGTGTGCTGAACCAGTGTCTGGCTATAACAATGGACTGCATAAGGACTAGCAAACCGAAATATAATCCAGACAAAACATGTGGCTGGCGAGAGGTTCCTTTGACCCAGTAAAGGCTGCCCAATCTGTTCTTGAAGGGGTCCATTGCACTCAACATCTGAGACCTTCATTCACAGGCTGCCTCCAAGTAGCTCCCTAATTATGGAATTATTTCTTCTTGGAGGTCTGCTTGGCACCAAGTTTACTGTATTTTAAGTGTCAGATTAAGACTACCATCATGGCTGAGGCTTTATCAACTCTAAACAGCACATGTGGCTGAGGTTTTGTTTTCTGTTTTAAGTTCCCTTAGCTGTGTTGACTGGTTTTAGCTGTTAAAATGCAGTTTAATTTTTTGCGTAATGTTAGAATTTTTAATTTTCGTTTATAATGTATTATTATGATTTTTCATTTTTCTTAACTGTCATTCACTGCCCAGAGAGCTTTAGCTATTGGGTGCCATTGAAGTAAAATAAATATTTACTTTGAGTATCTCAAAAAATAACTTGCTGACACTTCTTAAGGCCTCAAGAGACACGGTTGCTAAAAGAGACTTGTAAATTACTAACTTTCCTATCACCTGACTTTTCCTAAACCTCCACCCCAGCAAAATACACTCACAAACAGGTACAGCTTTTGGACACAAGCATGTTTCACTCCCAAAGTTCCTTTCATACTTCTGGCTACTTGGATCATTTATCTGGGTTTTAATGCCTGCTTTTATAACCTTTGTTGGCAAGATCTTTGGGCTGCCTCTTGGCATAAGAGAGCTACTTGCTCCCTATCTGGAATGTCTTCAGCCATGTATGGTTTTCCCACACTGAAAGAAAAGATTAATATTCAGGTCTTGGCTATTCACTTTCTCCTTAACTTTCTCCTGGTCCTTCTATAATATGTCACACCAACCAGATCGTCTCCTGTTCTTGCCCACCTGTCAACTGTCATTTCCGAACTGTTCTTTGCTACCTAGCTAGAATTTCCAGCCAATCAAAATTGAATTTACCCAACCCAGTCCCACCCCCAGGTTCAAAACAGTTTTCTCTCCCAATTCAGATTGCTATCATTTGAATTACTATTCAGTTACTTCACAGTCTTTTGACAGTAACAACCCAAGAAAGTTTATACAGATGTCTTATATATTGTCAGTATTTACAAAGCAATAATTGTTTATTACATTTCTTCACAGTTCGGAGATAAATTCCAGGGGGGAATTTCAGCAGGAATTTACTGTTCCTACAGCCTCACTCAAGCAGAGAGCCCACATTTAAACTAAACCTGTTCCCAAACCCAGTCAGTTAACAGCTAGGACAAACCCAGGTGGACCCCAGACCCTGAGCCAAAAGGAGCCTGAGACGAGACTTAGAGTCAAAAACAGTTTTATTCTAGTGCACTTTAGGATAAATGGATACAGAGGGGGAATTAAGCTTTCCCCAGATCAGAGTCTCATCAGGAGTACAGAAAACATACATTATATACCCCATGTCATAAGCATGATGTCCGGACACAAAGTGTATACATTCACATACCGTTGATAGTTTCTTTTTGTCAGTTTACAGAAGAACCCTTTATTCGTCCAAGGACTTCCCTTCCCATGTGTCTGCTAATAATCTCCCAACCATTCACACCCACCTCAAGTTTCTGCACCTACTGTAATCCCTAATGTATTTTGCAACTTTTATTGAGACTTAAACCAGTCTCAGGAGCCATGGGTTTCCCCATGTCCCTCCTATCGAAATTCTGCTGACTTGTGACAGCTGTTCATACAGAGTTCATTACTCCTTTGTCACCTGCTCTCTCCTGGACGGGAAATGTTAACATGGCTGCATTTCTTTAGCTATGTGGCCTTCCATGGGCTCACCTACTTTAGGGACTTTTGGGGCGCTGTTATTTGTACCATGTACTTGGGACTGATTGTCATTTTGCCATGATCAAACTTTATTCTCAAGAATAAAATACAGGTCCCCCCCCCCGCTCTAATTCTTGCCATGATTAATTGTATGAAGGTCACCAAGACCAGATCTCTTGAGTCATTGAATTTTCTTACTGAAGAATTATCAGGGACAGGTCAAAAAATCTATTTCCAATGCAATGAGGAGAGTGGAAGAAGTCATTTAAGTTTAGTGCCATAGAGAAAATTGAGTGTAATTAATGACCACGCCTTTTATATTTTTTACAGCACAGGTATATTTCTGAGCTTGTGATTTTTTACATTGGATCTCCAAAGAGAAAGCTGTAACCAGTCTTGCTTAATGTTCCTTTGCCAGTATCATAAATATGTAAAAAATATTCCTTCTAAGGAAAGAAAATAAGATGAAAGATTAATTTTGCATGGTAACTTGCTAAATATTTGGCAAAAGGAATGCATAAATCAAATGATTAACTTTAGCAGGTTGTCCAGAACTTTAGTAGCCTTGAAGTTAAACGCGTGAGCTTCCTTCTCAATCTTCCCCAAACTACAGCTCAGTGGTTTTGGCTTTCAAAATTTCCTTCCAGTGTAAATCAAGAAAATAGCTGAAGACTTGTTCGCAAGATCATACCGGAAGGAGGATATTCTGATCGAGAAGGCAAAAGAATACATTCGAAAGGGAGACTTACCAAAACTACCAGAAAGTATCAAAAATTATTGAATCAAGAAGTAACAACTATGGAAATAACAGAAGCAATTATGCGACAAAAGAACGATAACACCACTGGTCCAGATGGGCTACCAGCTGAATTTTATAAATCCTTTGAGGGAGTTTTTGCTATATTTTTAAAAGATATATGTAATGTAGCACTGTTAAATGCTAAAATACCAAATGCTTGGACAGAGGCAAATATCACATTAATACCGAAAGCAGATATGGACTTAACACAGATTCAAAATTATAGACCTATATCATTACTAAATGTGGATTATAAAATGTTTGCCTCTATACTGGCAGAAATGTTGAAGAAGTTTTTAATATACTTTATTCACCCAGACCAAAATGGTTTCCTGCCTAAAAGACAAATGAAGAACAATCTGAGGACTATCTTGGATATCCTAGAATACTATGAGACACACAAGGAAAAATCAATGGCTCTGCTGTTTTTGGATGCCCAGAAAGCCTTTGATAATGTTAATTGGCAATTCATGCAGCAACAGATGGCTCAAATGGAGTTTGGGAGAAAATTCATGAATGCGATATCAAGTATCTATCAAAGACAATTGGCCAGGATTTTAATTAATGGAGAATTTACAAGGGCTATAGAGATACAAAAGGGTACAAGGCAAGGATGCCCATTGTCACCCCTATTGTTCATTCTGACTTTAGAGGTTTTGAATAGAATTGTTAGGGATGACGAGAACATTAAGGGTACTAAAATTAGAGACGAAAATTATAAATTGCAATCATTTGCAGATGATTTGGTCTTCATAACAGAGGAACCTTTTGTAACAATCCCTAAACTTGTACAACGGATTGAAGAATATGGTGAGGTTATGGGGATGAAAATAAATACAGAAAAAACTTTTAGTTAAAAATCTTATGCAAGATCAGAAAAAAAGACTCCAAGAACAAGTGGATTTGCAGATTGTTAAAAAGGTTAAATACTTGGGAATCAATCTTACAGCTAAATGCACAACTTTGAAAGAAGACAATTATGATAAATTATTGAAGGGTATTAAAGGTGACCTGGAAAAATGGGCCAATTTACACTTGCCTTTGATGGGAAGAACAGCACTTGTTAAAGTGAATATACTATCAAAACTTTTGTTTTTGTTCCAAATGATTCCTGTAAAAATTGATAATAAATTTTTTGAGGATTTAAATCTTCAAATTTCGAGATTTATTTGGAGAAAAAAGAAATCAAGGATTAAATTAAAAATGCTTCAAGAAACCAAAAAGAACGGGGTTTTTGGTCTTCCTGATTGGATGTTGTATTATCAAGCGTCTATTTTAACTTGGCTAAAAGAATGGATAACTTTGCGAAATAAGAGAATTTTGTATCTTGAAGGTCATGATTTGCAAATGGGTTGGCAGGCTTATATGTGGTACGAGAAGGTTAAGTCTCATGGGACTTTGTAAAGCCACTTTATTAGAAGATCATTAATGTCAGTGTGGGAAAAGTTAAAGTCAAAATTGTATAATAAATTACCAAGATGGCTTTCACCAATGGAAGCCTTTGTGTATCCAAATGTATTGAACTTTGAAAGGATCATAAGATATGATGATATTTTGGACAAGGATGGAGGTCTGAAACTAGATCAAGAAATACAAGAACAGGGACTCAACATCTCTTGGTGGTATAAGGTGCAGATGCAATCAAGATATGCTAAAGATTGTAAAATATGGGGTTTTTATAAAGACCCAAAAGCCTTTGATCAAGTGATGCTAAAAACAGATGAGAAGATGCTCAAAAGAATTTATGAGTTCTTACTTGACAGGAAGATGGAAGGGGAACAGGTTAAGGAAACTATGATAACATGGGCACAAAATTTTGGATATAATATTGAATTAGAAAAGTGGCAAAAGCTATGGGAAAGAAACATTAAGGTAACTTTAGCAGCTTCATATAAAGAAAATTTATATAAAAGGTTTTATAGATGGTATTTGTCTCCAAGTCAATTAGCTAAGATGTTTCCAAATATGTCAAACGGATGTTGGAAGTGTAAACATGATGTGGGTACTTTTTACCATATGTGGTGGACCTGTGAATGTGTGAAAAAGTATTGGATTAAAATACATAAATGGCTTGAGGAAATGCTACAAAAACCCTTAGCTTTTAAACCTGAAATTTTCTTGTTAGGCATTATACTGGAAAATATTAGCAAACAAGAAATGTATTTGATCCTACATTTAATCACAGCGGTGAAGATTGTGCTTGCTCAATACTGGAAGAGTGAGGAATTACCCACTGAGG